TGCCTGGCTATTTATACATATATCATTTTCTTGGAGCTAGAGGACGTGCTAAAGCTTATATACGAAATGGATTCTTCTCTTTGGTCCTACAGGAGGACCTTTTTGGATCCTGCTCTGCCAGTGTGAGATATCTATTATTCCTCTCAGATTCATGTAATCCACAAATTCCTTGTGTATTGTCCACCACTCCATTAATAAAAAATTTGAACAGAATATAGTGAAGCCAAAGCCTAATGACCATGACAACCACTGTTGGGCCTCTTTGTCCATTCATTTACTTAGTAAGCATCCATTTAGCTATAGACTGGGCACTGTACTAAATGCAGCTCTGGTAGCATAGTGGTTACGAGTCATCCTGCTAATCTCAGGTCAGCATTTAGAAACTACCAGCGGTTCTGCAGGAGAAAGATGAGGCTTTCTGCTCCTGTAAAGAATTACAGCCTTGGAAACTCTAAACAGGGTCTCTATGAGTCGTAACCGACTCCACAGCACACAACCACTATCAGTTTTAACAAGGAGTCGGTATAGCACTGTAGGATAAACACTGAACTGCGAATCACAAGGTTGGTAGTTCAAACTCACTGACTCCTTGGAAGTCCTATGCATGGTTGCTCTGAGTTGGAATCAACATGGCAACACACAACAACAATCTTAACAAAACTCTTGTGGCATTGGTGCTACTGATCCCATTTTATTGATGAAGGAATTGAGGTCCAGAGTAATTTGGTACACAGCTGGAAAGTAGCAAAGGCAGCATTTGAAACCAGAACCAACTAATTCCAAAGCCTGTATTTTTTGCTGAATTATACTAACTCAGCATTTATTCATTACCGCAGGCTAGGACTTGTGCTAAAGACATTATCTCCCCATTTTATGTACTTCGTGCTCCAACTCTATGAAGTAGGCATCATTATCCTCATTTATCACAGATGCTAGCTGAGGTTCAGACAATTTGGTGATGGTGGGGCTAAGTCTGACTGTCTCATAAGGATGCTGTATAGGAGTTTCTGAGGCTGTAACTCTTTACAGGAGCAGAAAGCCTCATCTTTTTCCTTCCCAGTGACTGGTAGTTCCAAACTGCTGACCTTGCAATTAGCAGACCAACTTGTAACCCACTTTGCCCCCAGGACTCCTTTGTTGTTGTTGTTAAGTGCCATCAAGTCTTTTCTAACTCATAGGGACCCTGTACAGGTTTTCCAAGAAGTGACTGGTGAGTCTGAACCACTGACCTTGCAGTTCAAACCGACCTTGTGGTCCAGTGCTTTATCCCACAATACCACACCAGGACTCCTTAGTAACTAAAAATGACTCTTAGTCAGGCCTCTTCATCTAGTCACTAATCTTGGGATAACAAATCTTTTACTGTTACCTTTGCCTCCAGCTTGAATTTCTTCATCATGTCTATTGTAATCTGTTAAGAATTCATAAATACTTCATATCCTGTAATTTTTTTCCAGACTTTTCAAGAAACTAGGATTTCTTAAAGCTGTAATTATGATGTCAAACTGCAGCCAGGTTTGTATAAGAAAATCCTTACCTTGTAAGGTTGTGGAAATCAGAGGAAAAAGTAGGGACTTGATATCTTGTTCTCTCTAGTCCTTAAAGCTGGAAGATTCTAGGTTTTGTGCATCTCATCAGTCCTCCTCCCACACTTGCAGGGTCACTGATAACATACTTGCCATGGCTCGCCCATCCACTGAGCTCATAGAAAAGTATCACATCATCCAGCAGTTCCAAAGGTAAGTACTATCATTATTCACACATTATAGTAAAGAAACTAATGTGTTTTACCTTTCATTACTTTTGACTTCAAATGAAAAAAGTGTTTTCATTTTAATAATAGGCAGTAAAGAGCTTATTTCAAATAAGACATTGATATTTCATGAGTAATTGTGTTTTTTAATGCTAGCTCCCAATATGACTTTCTTTTTCCCTCTTTAAGCTGTGGCATAAAAACAGTAATTAACCTTCAACGTCCTGGTGAGCATGCTAGCTGTGGGAACCCTCTGGAACAAGAAAGTGGTTTCACTTACCTTCCTGAAGCTTTCATGGAGACTGGCAGTAAGTTCTTTCCCACTGCTCCTTTGTGTGAATTACCAAGGACAGCACTTAGAGACTCTTTTCTGCTCTGCTTTTATGTTTAAAAAGGTGATGGAAATAAAAACTTGTTGCTTAGTAGTAGGGCTCATAAAAAATAAAATAGGCCAACTTTGACTGTAACTAATGAATGCTGCTTTTCTTTGGTATTGCTATTGAAATTACAGGATTTCTTTTTTCCTGTGAGAGGGATGTAGAGAAGAATCCTTGAACTAATAATGATTAATATTAGTGTCTGTAGTATGTCACATGCTATTAACTCATTTAATCATTAAAGCGATTGTATAGCATAGTTGTCATTTCTATTATACAAATAGTGATACAGAGGCTTGGCAAGTTAAACTGGCTTGCCCAAAATGACACAGCTTAACACTGTCAGGATTGGAACTTAGAATGATAAAATTTTCACTGCTGTAAAGTTCTGCCATTCTAGGAATATTCAGTGATCCTTTGTGTGATCATCCCAGATGCACCTCCACTCATAGGACCTTTGTAAAGGAATCTGTTGAACACATGACATTCAAAGTTAGGTTGGAAATGATTACCCTGTGCAATTTTAGAATTAAAAGATTGTGTCTAGCTCCGCTCCTCTTTTTTTTCTTCTTTTACTCTAGGTGGAAGGAAATTTTAGCCATTCATCAATCATTTAGGTATATTTTCATGCCAAGATACTTTTCCTCTTTTTTTTTCTGAGTAATTTTAGTGTGGATCATTAACTCTATTAGTTCGTAATTCTACACCTACTTAGCCATCATTCTTTCTGGCTGAGTTTCAGCAGGAAATGTCATAAGTAATATGGTATGTGCTTTGTAAGAATCATTAACAATAAACTTACTCAAAATGTAAAAGACATATCTTTTCAGGCCTGTGTATTCACTGAGATAACTTGTCTTTTTCTTTTCATGAATTCACTATTTTTCCTAAATATCTTAGCAAAATTTTTTCCTGTATGTTGATTTTTTTCTTTTCTTTTTTTTTAATCCCTAGTTTTTTTCTACAACTTCGGATGGAAAGATTATGGTGTAGCATCTCTTACTACAATCTTAGATATGGTGAAAGTGATGACATTTGCCTTACAGGAAGGAAAAGTAGCTATTCATTGTCATGCAGGACTTGGTCGAACAGGTAAATTGTAAGAGTGAGTTGGTAGTTTGGAGGTATATTCAGTTATATAAGCAATAATATGTATTTCCTAATTCTGGAGGATAAATATTTTTCAGAATCCTACGAAAGCTTTGGAATCAAATGGAATAAGTAAATAAAATAATTTGAAATAGCATTAGAGTGTTACAATGATTATATGTTCATGCATGTATTCTTGAATGGCTTAGAGCTGAAAACTCATCATATTTAATAATCATTGTGTTTCTTAACAACATAGATGTTGACTCTGATTTTCTGATTTTCTTTAAAGGAAAAAAACATTCTAATACCTCATTTTAATATATAATGTACTTTAAAATGTAATTTACATCAACTGAAATATTAATGAGAACAACAAGCACCATTTATGTCCTCTATCTTTTAAAATATTTAGCAACAATGTGAATTGAAAACTGGAGTTTAAGAGAAGTTAAGTAATTTGCTATGTTTAGTAAATATCACGGCCAGAATTTAATTCCATGGCTGTCTGACTCCAAAGATCATGTGCTTTCTACTTTTGAAAGAGTATGGATTTTGTTTATGAAGAAGAGTCTATCTATGCCTAATATTCTATTTAAAAACTAGTTATTTTGCCTAAAAATTAAGCAGAATCTCATTACAATGCTGATACAGGAACAAAAATAAAGACTTTAGGGTTGAGATCTTCATAGTCATCTGGTCCAACTAAACACCTGATGCTCAATTCTCATCTTCAGTGTACCTACTACATAATAACCCACTTACCTGTTCATGAGTCTTTTCAACAATAGGGATTTACTCGTGATGGAGATAGTTAGCTATTATGGTTGAGCCGATATCTAGCTGTTGTTGGGGATTACAAAGTATACTTTCAATCTCCCTTGCACTTGATAGCTCTGCATATATTGTATTCTTCCACTAAAGATCTGCATGTCCTCATGAGAAAGAGATATTGTTCCATGTAGAATTAATTCCATGATAACTAACAGTAACAGTGCACTGGAGAACATGAAATTTCCGCAGCTTCTAAGCTTTCACATATAACAGTACTTACCAACTTGATGAATCATACAGATACAAAAAGGATTTGCCTTTTAATTTTGCATTAATTATTATTTTTTAATTAATTGATTAATACTTTTTCATTCATCATTTTTCACATGATTAATAAGTAAACACATAATGTTTATATTATTAAGACTGACTTCCTTAATATTAAGTGCTTATGGAAATGAAGAGTTGCCTGGTGTGGCGCTTAATGCATCAGACTGCAAAGCCGTTTGAACTGTAAGGTCAGCAGTACAAGCTCACCAGCTGCTTCTCTGAAACCCTATACAGGGTCACTATCAGTCGGAACCGACTCATCGGCACTTAACAATAACAACATCATGGGTATAGAAAAAATGAGTGTAAACATAAGGAGCCTTGGTAGTATAATAGGTTGCTCATTGGGCTGCTAACTGCAAGGTCAGCAGTTTGATTACCCGAGTCACTCTGCAGGAGAAAGATGAAGCTTTCTGCTCACTTAAAGATTTATAGCCTCATACAGTGTTGCTATGAGTCAGAACTAACTCAACCGCACTTAAGGACAACAACATATTGGAGTTGGGTTTAAGGAGTATTGATGTTCCAAATAACATTTGTAGTTCATTCAACTTCCTCGAATCAACATTTACTTACTCCAGTAGCATAGTGGTTACAAGTCGGGCTGCTTACCTCAAGGTCAGCAGTTCAAAACTACTACCCATTCTGCAAGATAAAGATGAGGCTTTCTGCTCCCTTAAAGATTTACAGCCTCGGAAATCCTATACAAGGTCGTTATGAGTCTGAACTGACTCCATTACGTATAACCACCACCACCTAAGAGATAAGGAGCTCTGGTTTTGTTATTGTTGTGAGTGCCATCAAATCCATTCTGACCCACAGAGACCCTGTATAGGGTTTCTGAGGAGCAGCTGGTGAGCTTGAGCCACCGACCTTGCAGTTCAAACCAGTATATTAACACACAGTGCCACACCCATATTCCTGAAGCTCTGGTAGCATAGTGTATTACAAACTGAGCTGCTAACCAAAAGGTTAGCCATTCTAATCTACCAGCTGTTCAGCAGAAGAAAGATGAGACGTTGTGCTCCTGTAAAGATTTATAGCCTCAGAAACCCTATACAGGGTCATCTGAGTAGGAACAGACTCCACAGCACACAACCACCACCAACCACCAAAGAGATAAGTTAGTGTGGTGCTAGCCTGCTAACCACAACAGTTGGCAGTTCATATCCACCAGCTACTCCTTGGAAATCCTATACAGGGTCACTATGAGTCAGTACCAACACAATGACACTGAGCAACAACAAGAGATGAATATGACACTCCTTGCTCTCTGAAAGTTCTTGGTTAAAAGGTACCACGTAGACAGTAAATAGAGAAACTTTTACATAGTAATAAACCCCTGTACAAAAAGACACAAAATTGTAATTATAAATCAGCATTAAAAATGTTCGTATATTTATATGGTTTCTTAAGACGTATTCAGGTTTTAAATCCTCAAAGAACAATAAATAGAAACATAGCTTTACTTACCCTAATCTCTTCTTCACTCTTTAGGTGTTCTAATAGCATGTTATTTAGTTTTTGCAACAAGAATGGCTGCTGACCAAGCAATTATATTCGTTCGAGCAAAGCGACCCAATTCCATACAAACTAGAGGACAACTACTATGTGTAAGGGAATTTGCACAATTTTTGATTCCTCTTCGCAATATATTTTCTTGCTGTGATCCCAAAGCACATGCTGTCACCTTAGCTCAGTATCTGATTCGCCAGCGTCATCTGCTTCATGGTTATGAAGCACGACTTCTGAAACATGTGCCAAAAATTGTTCACCTAGTTTGCAAATTACTGCTGGATTTAGCTGAAAATAGGCCAGTGGTAAAAGAGGAAGAATTAGAAGTACCAGACCTCTGTGCTGAGATTGAAAAGACAGTTTCTGAGATGGTCTCAGTGCAACTGGATAAAGAATTAATGAGGCATGACAGTGATGCATCAGACCCTTTCACCCCCATAGCAACAGCAGCAGCTTTGGAGAATCCAGATGTCATTCTTTCCAGTGAGCAAGGACTTGATCCTGTTTGGAAGAGGTGGAATGTTGAATGTCTCCAACCGCTGACTCCTGTGAAAAGGCGGCTCAGCTACAGTGACTCAGATTTAAAACAGGCTGAATTACTTTGGGAGCAAGGTATGACTCAGTGGACAGTGCCTACCCAAGTCTTGCTGTGCCGTAACTTCAAGCAGCAGAAACCTATAAGCAATTGTTACATTCCACAGCTTCCACAACTAGATTTAAATAAGGAAACTTTGGTACACAATACATTTTCTTTCTGGAATCAGGCTAAGTTTGGAGGCTTAGGAGGACTCAAAAATGATGAATTACCACTTTTCCAGAGGAGGGATATTCCAAACGAAATACAGCGGAGTAGAACCTTTTCATCAGGTGTCTCAGGTTTATACACCCCTGGAGAACCAGTTACATCCACCTTTGCAAATATTCATAAGGAACCAAAGCATTCTCTACAACAAGTGGGACACTGTCAGTATGAAACTCATGGCAGTTTGGGCCAGGAATCCATCCTGGCAGGTAGTGGAACTTGCTGTCCCACTCTAGACTGTGGCTCTACTCCAAAAGTGAAATTCTCTGTTGGAAATGAAAACAAAGAGAGCAAAACTCTGACTGAAGTAGCTCCACAGGTTGCTTTGCAATCTGAATTGAATGTTGAAGCAAGGAGACTACTAGCAGCCAAAGCCCTGGCAAATTTAAATGAGTTTGTAGACAAGGAGGAAGTGAAAAAGAAGGTAGAAATATGGCAGGTATTTGTATTTCATTTAATTGTGTATGTGTGTGTGTGTATGTGTGTGAAAGCAAAGCTCATATATTTCCCTAAATTTATTTGTTAAAGAAATTTAAAGACATTGTATAACGTTTTCTGACTTTTTATTATATGGTAAAATTATAACATAAAATTGACCATTTAAACCATTTTTAAGTATACCATTCAGTGACATTAAGTACATTCACAGTGTTGTATAAATATCACCACTACCTGTTTCCAGATAGATCTTTTTCATGATCTCAAACAGAAACTCTGTACCCAATTAGCAATAACTCCCCCTCCCCTAGCTTCTGCTAATGTCTGCTTTAGTTCTGCTTTCTGTCTCTGTATTTGTCTATTTTAGATGCCATATATAAGTGGGATCATATATTTGTCCATTTTTGTTTGGCTTACTTCATCTAGTGTAATTTCTTCATTGGCTCAGTGGCAGCAGCATTGGGCTCAAGTGTAGCAGCAATTGTGAAGATGGCATAGGACCATGCAGTGTTTCGTTCTGTTGTGCATAGTGTCACTATGGGTCTGAACCTACTTGATGACACCTAACAACTACATCTGCATGGTCCATTCATATTTAGCATGTATCAGAACTTCATCCCTTTTTATGGCTGCATAATATTCTGATGTATTTAAAGACATTTTATTTATCATTCATTTTTTGAGGGCTACTTGGTTTATTACTACTTTTTGGCTATTGTGAATAATCATACAGTGAACATTCATATGTATACATCTGTCTGAGTCTCTGCTTCAGTTCTTCAAATATGTGCAAAGGAGTGGAACTTATAGGTCTGTGTTAGTTCCATGTTTAGGTTTTTGAGGAACCACCAAACTGTTTCCACAGTTGCTGAACCATTTGATATTCCCACTAGCAATGTACAAGGGTTTCAATTTCTCCAAATCCTCACCAACATTTGTTATTTCTGGGTTTGTTTACTTGTATTCGATAATAGACTTCCTGTTGGGTATGTGGTAATATCTCTGTGGTTTTTATTTGCTTTTCTTTAATAACTGATGAAGTAAACTCAACCATGCAATGATTAAGTGCTCAGCTGCTAACTAAAAGGTTGGCTGTTCAAACCTACCCAACTGCTCTTCAGGTTAAAGACCAGGCAGTCTTACAGTAGGGGCGTTTTTTTATTTCCTGTCATATAGGGTATCTATGAGTCAGAATTGAGACTTGATAACACGCTACAATAATAGAAATGACTAATGACCTTATCTATTAGTGCTATTCGACCACTTTTAAATCTTTTTTGGAGAAATGACTATTCAAGTCCTTTTTTAATTAGATGGTTTGCTTTTTTATTGTTGAGTTTTAAGAGTTATCTGTATACTACATTCTGGATGTTGGTGTCCTGTTCTATTTCTGTAGGATAAGCACTGGACCGCTAACCACAAGGTTGGCAGTTCAAACCTATTAGCTGCTCCTAGAGAACCTTATATAGGGTTGCTGGGAGTCAGAACCAATTCAATGGCACTTAACAAGAACAATTCTGGATATCATTACCTTATCAAATATATAATTCTCCCATTTTGTAAGTTGTCATTTCAGTTTCTCTATTTTTATTGTTGTTAAGCACCTTACAAAGGAGCTCTGGTAGCAGAGTAGTAACAAATTGGGCTGTGAACCTTAAGGTCAGCAGTTTGAAACTACCAGCCGCTCCGCAGGAGAAAGATGAGGCTTTCTGCTCCCACAAAGATTTACAGCCTCAGAAACCCTGTACAGGGTCACTCTGGGTCAGAATTGACTCGACAGCACTTAAAAACAACAACAAGCACCTTATAAGCAACTCACAACCTGTTAAGACCCCAGTTACTATTCAGCAAAGTAAGGTGTAGTGTATTGTCTGTGGACTACATTATGTGAATGGACCGTGGTGGCTTGAGTCCCCAGGCCCCATGATTCATTCCTTCGAGGTGTTTGTGTATATCTAAGAAGTTTTCATAACTTTGCCCTTTGTATGCTCTACCTGGATATGCTTGCAACATAGATAAACACACATGTAGAAATATCTTATGTCAAACCTGTCCATGAGTACAGTCCTACTCTCCCTCCCATTCCCATTCAGCCTTCGTGTCTACTCAAGCATTTCCTCATAGATCACTATCACTGCAGGGTTGTGCATATAACAGTATTTACTCTTGCACTCCTCCCAGTAATTTCCCCTGCTGCCATTATTTTTTTGTTGTTGACTTTTTTCTTATTGTCTTCCCTTCTCCCAAACTTATATGTTTCCTGGTGTGATGCTATAGGATAAGCACTGGATGGCTAACTGAAAGGTTGGCATTTCAAAGCCTCCAGCTGCGCTTCCGAACCAGGTTGCTGACTTGACAGCACATAACAATAGTAGCACTCTAGTTAGTGATTTACTCTTCCTTCCCCTTTCACCTTGGTAGCGATCAAAAAACATTTCTTTCAGTGAAAGGGTTTTTTTTGTGTGTGTGTGTAAAAACTATTTCTTGACTTTTTAAAATATTGATCTCATACAGTATTTGTCCTTTTGTGATTGACTAATTTCACTTGGCATGATGTCTTCAAGGCTCATCCATGTTAGGAGCTGTTTTGTAGATTCATCATTATTCTTCAGTGTTGGGTAGTATTCCACTGTGTGTATATACCAAAGATTGTGTATCCACTCTTCCATTGATCAACATTTAAATTGTTTTCCATTCTTTTGCTATTGTGAGTAATGCTACGATGAACATTGGTGTGAATATCTCTATTCATGTCATGGTTCTTATTTACTTAGGATATATCCCAAGTAGTGGGACTGCTGAACCATATGGTATTTCTATTTCCTACTTTTTAAGGATGCACCATAGCATTTTCCATAGTGTTTCCACCATTTTACAGACCTCCCACCACCAACCATTTATGAGGGTTTCAATTTCTACATGTCCTCACTCACACTTCATGTTTTTTCTGTTTAAACTTTGCTACTAATGCTCGAGTGAGATAATATCTCATTGTCATTTTTATCTGCATCTCTCTAATGGCTACTAATCACAAATATTTCTTCATATGTTTGTTGGCCACATGAATGTCTTTTTTGGTGAAGTGTCTGTTCATGTCCTCTGCCAAATTTTAATTGGATTGTTTGTCTTTTTTGTTGTTGTTGAGGTGTTGAAGTTTTCTAAAAAATTTTCCCAGTTTGTGGGGTTTTTTTAAAATTCTTTTGTTGAAATTGTTTAATTTTCATAAATGTATAACTTTTAGGATATCCCAGTCATCTAGTTTGTCTTCTACTATTTGTGAGTTTTCAGTTACATTTGATAGTGTACTTACACAATGTATCAGGACCCCTAAGTTTGTCCCTACTTTCCATTGATGATCTTAAATGTAGGTCTTTGATCCATCTTGAGTTTGGTTTTGTATATGATGTGAGATAATGGGTCTTATTTTATTCTTCTGCAAATGGATTTTTAGTTTTGCCAGTATCACTTGTTAAAGGGACTATCTCTTCTTCATTTAATGCTATGTAGCCCTTTGTCGAAGATCAGGCATCGATAGTGGATGGATTTGCTTCTGCGTTCTCAGTGCTGCTCCATTGGTCTATGTGTCTGTCATTGTACTCAATACCAGGCTGTTCTGACTACTGTGACTGTGTAGTAGATTTTGAGATTGTGAAGTGTGAGAGGCCTTCTACTTTGTCCTGCTTTAGTAGTGGTTTTTGCCTACTGGAACCCCTTTCCTTTCCATATAAAATTGGTAACTAGTGTTTTGACCTTTTTAAAAAATGATGTTGAAATCTGTACAGCAGGGAAAAATCACATTGTACCCTGCTGTATAGAATCCTATCATTTGCAAATAGAGTTTCGCTTCTTTGCAAAGTTGGATGCATTTAATTTCCCTTTCTTGCCTTACAGCTCTGGCTAAGACTGTCGACACAATATTGAATACATGTGATAAATGGTATCTTTGTCTGGTTCCCATTCTCAAGGGGTTGACAGTGTCCTTAAACACACACAAGTTTGTAATATTGAAGTCCAATTTCTATTTATTCCTTTGTTGTCTATGCTGTTAGTCTCATAGCCAAGAAGTCATTGCCATTTCTAGAGTCATAAAGATTTCCCCCTGTGTTTCCTTTCAAGAGTTTAATAGTTTTAGCTTTTGTATTTGGACTTTTGGTCCATTTTTATTGTACTTTTTTATATGTTACAAAGTAACTGTCCAACTTCATTCATTTGCATGTGGATACCCAGTTTTACCAGCACTATTTGTTGACAAGACTGTCCTTTTCCCATTGAATAATGTTGACACCCTTGTCCAAAAGCAGTTGAATTGTGAATGTTTATTTCTGGACTCTCTATTCATTCCATTGGTCTATAGTATGTCCAATGTTATGCCAGTATAACATTGTTTTGATTGCTGTTGCTTTGTAGTACATTTTGAAATAGAGAAGTGTGAGTCCTCCAAGTTTGCATCTTGCTAATGCTCTTTCGGGGTTCATTGCAATTATCATGAAATTTAGGATCTGTTTTTGCAAAAAAAAAAGCCATTGGGATTTTGATAAGGATTGTAATGAATCTGTAAAGTACTTTGGGTAGTATTGACACCTTAAAAATACTAAATCTTCCAAGCTATTAGCACAGGATGTCTTTCCAGTTATTTAAGTCTTTATTTTAGCAATGTTTGTAGATTCAATATAAAAGTTTTTTTTATGCTATTGTAATGGAATTGTTTTCTTAATTTTCTTTTGGTTCTCTTATTATTGGTGAATAGAAATACAACTGATATTTTTGTGTGTTCAGTTTGTATTACAGCTTTGCTAAATTTGTTTATTTGTTGTTGTTGTTGTTGTTAGGTGCCATCAAGTCAGTACCGACTCATAGCCACCCTATGCACAACAGAATGAAACACTGCCAAGTCCTAGGCCAACCTAATAATTGTTGCCATGCTTGAGCTCATTGATGCTGCCACTTTGCCAGTCCATCTCCCTGAGGGTCTTCCTCTTTTTCTCTGACCCTCCACCTTAC